GCCCTACATGGCATTACTGAAGCGTCCAAAGCAAAGGTTTGTCAAACTCGCACCCATTTAGGGTATAGTTAGGATAGTTTAACTTAAGTTTCTTAGTCACGGCCCGTGCAGAGCCTAGTTTGGATTCCACTTTTTCCCCAAGATAGTTATACTTAAGTTTGCCCAGTTGCAGCCCATATAAGGCTCAATTTTCTCAAATTTTCTCTGATAATAATTTAATTTATATAGGATATCCTATAATTATGCCTTAAATGGGCTCGAGTCTTATAAATTTCGCATAAAAATTGGTTAATGCTAATTTTATAAAGTAATATTATTTCTACTTAAGAAAATAAAAAAAAAAGTCAAATTTTAAACGTCTCAAATTCACGAGAAAAGAAACTAATTGGACATCCTATACAGATGTATGGAAACTCGAAGATCCGAACCTAAATACACTGTCGTGTATCCCTTTGCCGTCGCTGCTATCCGCTTCCGCAATCAGGGAACTTTCACCCTCTCTTATGATGCAGTTCCGTTCGATTACGACCGTTGTTACGTTCATTGCGCTACACGCGCAGGGCTTTCCACAAGGAACCCATTAATTGGATCTGGTGTCGGGTTACTCGAGCTTCGATTCGCCCTATGTTCCGCCGTGTAAATCCGGAAGCTCGTATGCGTTGTACCGACTTTGGCGGTGTCGCTCTTCCCTGTTCGCGAAATACAACGTTCACAAAACGTCCACGGAAAATACAACGTTGAATACAAAAATTCCAATTTCATAAAGCCGTCTCTCTCACGCATCATTTAGTATTCGTAAATCTATTTTAAATAACGGGCAGACTAATTTACGACGTCCAAAAATTCACTTTTTGTCCTTAAGAGAAATCGCAAAATTAATTTAAATCCACAATATCGCGAACAAGAAGTCGCACATGTACATAAATTAATTTATGACGTGATGAATTATTCGATAATTGCTCTGTTTAATCTCGTGAGCGTGATTGTGATCACGTAATTTACCAAAAACGCATCTAGAATATTATTCATTCTCGAGTACGTTTTACCGCGGGCGGAGTGGGGAGTATCGTGGTGAACCGCATGCAGCTGCAAGTGCAACCACATTGTGCGTCACTGACACGGTGCATCGCGCGATACGTTTTCTCTTCGCAGCGGCAGAGTGATATTCGGTGACTTTTCCACTTCTCTTCTCCACTATTTTCCGTTACCTCTCACGTAGAAATCCCTCCGCTCTCAATTTTCAAGAATTCGAGCACGAATTTTGTTTCTCTTTCTTGCCTTTTCCGGAGTCTATCTTCCTGGTGAGAATGACATAATACATCACGGCATGCTATCGGTATTTATTTTCCGAATTCTACCGCGCCAGGAAAATGGGGAAGGGAAAGATGAAGAGAGGTGATCACTTAGAGGAAGGGGGATTCTCTTACTGACGCTGGTCTCTCAACTGAATCCATTAGCCAACGCCATTAATATCACGGTAATGATGAGCGATGAGCCACCGCGCGGAGGACGAAGCGGATCAGAAGAGGACGAAATACTTTCGGATAACGTTAAGAGAGAAGGAGAGAGAGAGAGAGAGAGAGAAGGAGTAAGCAAAAAAAAAGGGAAAGATGACTAGGTAGACAGATAGGTAGATCGATAGACAGATAAATAGGTAGATGTATGTTACGTTACGATAAAAAAGAAAAATCTTTTCTTATAAAATCAGCATAACAAATGGATAAAAAATAATTAAATTAAATTAGTAGATAATAACTAACTGTGAGGGAATAGTTATTAAGTGCAGAATTATATGCAGATTATATGCAGAACTATAACCAACAATTTTCTTTATCAAGATTATCAAGATACGTAAGATTAGGCGATAGGCGAGCGTGGTATATAGCAACATAATAGTATCGAGCAACATAATAAGACAGTAAAATTTTTAATGGAAGCGTAAAGACTTTTACGTTCGTTGCATAAGCGGGCAAATTTCAATGCCAATTCAAATTTTAATTAAAATTTAAATTCGCAGAAAAAGAAAAAGAAAGAGAGTAAGCACGGTAGAGGCAAAAGGGCACTAACACGTCTGCACTTCCACAATCGTTGCCATATAGGTGGCACGTATATTATATACGTGCTTACAGGGGCTTTGATAAATGCTGCTTTACTTGGCCCACTGCCAAATAGCATGCCGCACAATGTATCTCATCGCTCGTGTATTCCTCATCGCGCCTTTCATGAGACGAGATACGCTCGTGTCGCGGTGTATTAAACCTTCACACACGCTAAATATTATCGGTTAGCGACGATTAAAAGCCGGCTATTATAGCGCTTCAATTATTTAATATCACGAGAGCCAAAGATAATCCGAGATTTTTTTCTCGTTTCGAGAAGGTGTGTATGTTATTAAAGGCATGTATGTTCGTAAAAATAAATAATAAATCTTATAATTCCTCTAATGATTCATATGTATCATTAAATATTGATCCTGAGACAAATAGAAATTTTCTTTCCGTCACTTTTCAATTAACTGACAATCCGTCTCGCAAATTATTTGCGATACTTCGTCGAAGGACCAAATTAAGGTTCAACTTTCGCTCCCAGCCAAGAGAAATAATTAAGCGCTCTTTCATAACGATCATTACTCAGACTCGTTCATTCATCATTCGACCTCGCATTGAATATGTTCATCTTGGCGAACTCTAATGTTACGAATGAGTTTTATGAACCTTGCAAACTTCCAATTGAGCAAAGAAAATGTTTTCAAGGATGAGATCCTTCCTTCAGATGAGGAAGTTTCTGTCCACGTGGCCTTTGGTAGATATTGCCTTCCTTTATGACGTTCCAAATAACGTAGCAAGTTATCTATCTCATTCCGCACCGTTTATTGTATTCCGTGTCCCTTTTTAGCAAGAGACTTATCAGTATGTGTTTAACCAATCCTCCAACCAACTAGCACTCAACCATGCCTCTTTCAAGGTGTCGCCAGGTAAATGAGAATCTCGATCTTACAATGCTTCTCGATCGATACGTCGAGGGACCGAGAATGGAAACGGTGGCGGATCCGATCTGACTGATCGGAAGTATCTTTCAGTCCCGAGAACCCCCATCCTTTTTCCATGAAAATCACTTTCCCTTTTTCGCAAGCGGCCCACGTAACACACTGAGGAGCCCACCCCTCTCCCTCAATGCGCTCCCTTTCCTTTCCTTGCGTTCATCATACCCGGCACGTGTGCCCGGGCACTTCCCGGCGTACCTACGTGCCTCTTATGAAGAATCCAGTCACAATGGTGGAGGGGTTGGAGATTCCGATACGAATTTCCGGCGTTCCGCTACGCCACCGTCGCCGATATCGAATATACCCAGTTCGAGAAACGAGGAATTTCAGCCGCGAAATTCTCCACCTCCTGTGCCTCCTTTACCCTCCATACCTCTACCTCCCCGCGCAGAGACGTAAATGAGGGTTACGGTATTTCGCGTGGTTATCGATATGAAGGATTCACGATTGATCCCCCGGATCGGCCCTTTCGCAATCCTCCCTCCTTCTGCGTCATAACTACCTCGAACGAGATCATCCGGGTATCAAGGATGGAAGTCTTCTTACAGGATATCGAGAAAAATGAATTTTTAAATCATTAATCTTTTATAAAACTCCGGGAAATTAATTCTTGAATTTTTTATAAGAGTTTAATTGAACCGTTTTAAGTTTCTATTGAACTATATCAGGTTTTCGTCGTTACACAGAAAAGACGGTTTTGCTGTATCTAAAATTTTAGCTAGATGAAAATTTGAAAATAATTATGTAGGATGCTCAAACTGGTTGCTAGAATATCTAAACTTTGCAATAATTATTTTAATGGTTCAACAAAATTATTTTCAAATTTGCATCTGGCTAAATTTTTAGAATTGTTCTTTCCTTGTATGCATTCCTTGTATGTGAAATGACTCACGTTAATTATAAATTATTTTGAGAAATTAATATGTGGAGATCGTGACTACAAAAAAAAACTCACCAACATTTCTTTGTAAAAGCATTAAGTTATTTTCCCTGTAAATATAGATATGGTTTAATGCTTGGCTCAACTATGGCTGAGCAGTCTTGGCGCTTTAAATATTAAATGCCACAAATATAAAGATAGTGATAAATAATACTACGTATACAGGAATAAACTAGAAATAAAAGCGGAGGTGTGTAAGTAATAATTCATGTTGTTGCGCAAATGGCGGTTAACGTGCAGGTTTCCCTTCATGTTCAGAGTAAAAGCACATCTTCACGACGACGGCAGCACAAAGCTGCTCGCTGTCTCGATTAAGTCTGTCGGAATGAACGAATGAAGCTGTTTCCACGGCGATTAATTCGCCTCTTCCGGTATTATCGCACCCGCGACGGCCGCATAATTACACAACGGCGTCGCATAATACCATACTGCGCGGTGCCCTTTTTGCAACTCTCTTCGGTGAGAAAATGAGAAAATTTATATCCGCGATCTCATTATCGGTCATTGCCGACGAAACCAGTTTTCCCAGTTACCTTAAAGTGTCGAAATCCATTCGACAAACACAAAATAGATAATTAAAAATTCGACATAAAACTATTCTCACAACTATTGTATGATTCTACAAGGAAAAAATGATTTTGTTAAAAGTATCTAAAAGTTTAACTAGATACAGATTTGAAAATAATTTTATTGAACCATTAAAATAATTATGTAGGACGCTCGAGCTAATTGCTAAAATATTAAAATTATTTGCAGCATTTCTCATTATGCTTGAGTTTCCTACATAATTATTTTAATAGCTCAAAATTATTTTCAGATCTGTATCTACTCAATTTTTAGATATTTCAGCAAAATTCTTTCCACAATATAAATATCCGTGCCATATATTGCAATACGTTCGATAAAATAAGCAAGTCTTCATAAACAACTTGTATAATAATATTGTTTACAAAATAGACACTTATAAATATTTTTAAGCTACTCGAATATGCTCTAACGATGATTCTCTCTTTTCAGATGATCGACGCCTCCTATCATACAAACCCGTCGTTGCAAAGCACTGCCCTAATCATCACCTGCGCGGTGGTCCTTCTACTAATGGCCGCGATTGTATCCGTCGTTTTTTGGAAGTAAGTAGATTTCTCTGTTATCGTTTTCTTTTACCAGACGATATCATACAATACCAACAAGTATGACGATACGATAAAAATCTCTGCAGCGAAGTCCTCGAGCTGCCAATGGTCGTTTCTCACAATAAAACGACCGTTTCTTTCATGCTGTGACATCGTGCAGCCTCGTGTTTTCGAGATTCGAGGTCATTCAGCATGCAACCGTATTTTAAGGAATTGAGAGCACAGGCCACCTTCGGATTCTTACGCGACTCGTAGAAATAAAAAGGGACGACCACATGGGGAGCGAATAAGGGCGAGGTTGTGTGAGGATATGAGAGAGAGCGTTACCGATTGCTCCAAAATTAACCAAAAATAGAACAACGAGCTAGGACGAGGAAACGAACGTTTGAGCATCCGTCGGTTTGTTCTCGACAGCGCCCCGGTTGTTCTGCCTCCTCGTACTGGACGATGATCTATAGCGCGGTAAGCCGCACCAAGGGGGAGCTTTAGGTCTACTCGGAAAATGTTACGTCACGGGTACCGTAGTCGATGGTCAAAATGTCAGATATCGATTTTTGATTTAGTGAAGTCTCTGTTTCCTTCAAGAATGCACTCATTCTGTCAAAAATCTGTTTCTTTCAAAAATGCACTCATTCTGTCAAAAATAATATAGTGGTCCGTTTGAATAGCATTCTGTAATATGTTACTTTACATTTTGCAATTATTGTTAGAAGATTTAAAGTTTGCTCCCTAAATATTTCTTTCAAGAAATGCACTCATTCTGTCAAAAGTAATATAGTGGTCTGTTTGAATAGCATTCTGTAATATGTTACTTTATAATTTTTGCAATTATTGTTAGAAAGATTTAAAGCTTGCTCCTTAAATATTTCTTTCAAAAATGCATTCATTCTGTCAAAAATACTATAGTAGTCTGTTTGAATAGCATTATATATTATGTTACTTTACAATTTTTGCAATTATTATTAGAAAGATTAAAATCTTGCTTCCTAAATGTCGAATAGGACAGTTTTGCTAAATATTTTTCTTGTACATATATTTGTTTTATTGTATGGGAAGAACAATTTTATTGAAGTATCTAAAAATTTAACTAGATACAGATATGAAAATAATTTTGTTAGACCATCAAAATAATTATGTAAGAATGCTAGAATGTCAACTTTTTGTAGCATTGTTCATCAATGTTGATATTACTACGTAATTATTTTAATGATTTAATGAACAAAATTGTCTTCAGATCTGTATCTATAACTAAATTTCAGATACTTCAACAAAATCGTTCTTTCTATACAATAAATCAGTATGTATACGTTAAATATGTACAAGAAAATAGATACTTGACTAAATGAATCGGTCTTAAGAAATCTAAAAACAGTTCTCACAGAATTTTCACATAGTTACAGTGGGTTTACGTAGTCAATTGAGTTTTTATGATACGATTATGTAATTTTCCCACTTTTCTGTTAGTGAGCGAAACGATCGAGAGCACGTTGCTGAGATGAGAGCGTTGCTCTTGAGCGTATCCTAAATTACCCGAAAATGGAGCACCCGAAGACGCGGTGAGAAAGCCTGCCACTTTAATTAATACCTAACCGTGTTTCCGACAGCCTGTGGCTCTGGTTCCCATATCGTGCACCTAGATCTAGGTCGCGGTGAGATTAGATGATGACTTCGTAATTAACGAGGATGCCATCTTGCGCTTTCGCGAAAAAAAAAGGCGACCGCGCGTAATATCGTTATATATAACAATTAGTGAAGATGACGTTGCATAATAAATAAAACGCCACGGTTATTTCTCCATTTGAATTTTCGCCTGGAATTTTTATCTGTGTCATCTTGAGATACAAGCAGCGAGGAAGGAAATAGGGTGACGTCGTCGCACTAATGGGCCCTAAATTAGCCAAAAACAAAGCTTCCCCTGGTTTCACCACTACTACAGTCTGCCGCAGACAACGTTGGTTCTTGCTTGCAGTACCGCGTGCTGATCTACAAACAACCATAGTAATTTATTTAGAGCACAGCGGTAGCCAAGAACTTTTCGACCGTTCTCTCCCGAAATTTTAGAAATTCGCACGATATGTTTCGCTCCTTTCATTCTTTCAGACACAGGATTTTTCTCGTCGCTCGTCCTTTGAAAATTTTAGAAATTGGAGCGTACTTTTCTTCTTTGCAAATACATGACACTTTAGAAATATATGAGGCAACTTAGAAATCGTCTCACGAGCATTTCGACCTTTGCCATAGAGTCTCAACGAGAGAACAGTACGCCTAATTGGCATTCCAATGACTCCTAAATTAAAGCAGAAATAGGCCATTCCTGAAATGGGCGTACGCCCAGGCGCTGTTACGTACCGCCGACAGCGGAACAACGCGCCAGTAATTTGTGACACGGTGGCTCATGCTAGTCGGCACGGTTTCGTGGATCCGCGGGACATGGGAAAATACATTTACCGACGTCCGGGGTGGCTTACTTGGGAGATTTACGGACACAGCCGCAGGCGAAAGCTCCGTTGCGCCGCCGTTGTCGCACGTTGATTGGACGCGCGGTAAAAAATGGAGCGGCTCGATAAGACGAATAGGAGATGCGTGGAGAAGTTGACAATTCGAAGGGCGGGACTTTCCTACACGCTTTCAAATGCTATACTTTTTCGTATGAGAAACCACGCAATTTTCACAATTGTGAACTTCTTTGCCGAACCAGCTTGTCGTTCTTTTCAATTCTCTCTAATAAATTCAAACGACAGAAGCTCATTCTTCATTTAATCTTGAACAGAATAAGAAAACAGTGTGTCGCAATTCTTTGTAAAAGCAAAAAGGTTCTAAAGATCTATACAAGGAATTTGCGAAACGGAGATAACATCAGCGACGTGAAATTTCCTGTGCATGGACGAAGACACGGGATGTCCGTCCAATCATATCGGTTAATATTTGCCTTGCACGCTCCACTTGTAATCTTAAACACATCTCTCGCCTAACTGGTTCCGTCCGACCGTCCGCGTCATCCGATCTCTGGATCATTCGAACGGATTGTTAACCCACGATTAACTCTCCGCTAATGAGCAGTGAATCCGCGTCTCTCGTGGTCCTATCTGATGATCGATCGGTGAACATCGGACTAGAAAGCACCGGTCAAGAGGACAATTTTGGGCAGCACAGTGCCTCGCATTCACGACTGAACGGTTCTATGGCAGCGACTCTCGAAGGCACACTCGTCGTGACAACGGTGGCCCTGTTTTCGCGCGTTTTATCGTAATGCCTGGTCATTATCGACACAACCACGCCGCTAGTATCTCAAGTGTTACTGGTTCCCCATATTTGCGCTTTGTGGATGGTTATCGTAAGTACGACTCATGCTGAACACTCGTACGCCAGAGCGAATTAGGATCGACCACAATAAAATTAGACAACTGATAGAGGGGAGTGTCAAGTACTTTCTTTAGTTACAAGTTGCTCATGAAAATGGCATTATAAAGCGTCAGTCTTTATGTTATGTAGAATATCGATCATATTTGTTTAATTTACTCAAAAAAATAGAAGAGAAACATCGAGATTTTCATTCTGATATTTTTTAAAAAGAGATAGTCCCTAAAATAATTTTAAAAAAAGTATATATATCTTGGTTTTAAATAAGTAAAAGCTTTAGGTGGAGATTTGAATATATATATGTATATAATTGATAATTTTAAGAATATATCGAATATATTCTTTAAAAAATTAAAAATATTAAATATATTGCTCTCTTTTATAGATTTTTTTTCAATTATTAAGAATATAGAACTGAAGCCAATAATCGATTTCCATATCGTTCCCATGCAAGTTCCCATGTTGCGAAAAATCGACGGAGTTTCTTTACCATTCGGGACAATCGTGACTCTGTTTTCGCGTTTATCGTAATGGCTATGGTCCATTATCGAGCGTGACGTCTCGAGTGTTGCGGCGTCTCGTGGCTCGTTGCTTTGTGGGTGGCATTTCGGCCTCCTTTTCTCGGCATTTCTCTGCGCTGTTTCACACGCTCTCGCGGTTCCTCTCTGTCCTCGTGTCGTTTGGTCGTTGATTCTCCATATTATTGCGGATCTCTCTCGGTGCTTGTTCCTACGAGGCGCAGAACCGTAACCATTATTCCTGAGTGAAAGCGATTTAAGTTTAAGATTAAGCGATCTAAATTTAAGACGACAGTCTCTTTTACGAGGTCTTTATTTAAAGTGGAATTTTTTTTGTATAAGAAAATTTCTACATAGAGAAATTAATTACGAACTTGTAGATCTTGTATTAAATATATTTTTTTATCTCATCTTGTTTATATTTTTTTACGTACATAAAGAATGCGAAAATATAAATTTAATTCATCGTTACTTGATGGATTAATACCAGAATAATTTAATTTATAGCATTGTTATACGTTATGATAATTTTATTTTGCTTTTATTAATTAATTAAATAAATTTATTAATTACCTATATATGTATACGATATTTTATATTTAGATAGGAAGGCAATAAATCTAATTTTTCGCCGTAAGACTCAGCAACTTTAGCTACGGTACTGCGCACACAATCAGAACGCAGAGAACCGACACGGCCGCGTGTAGTTTGTATGCTAATCAGAGTCGTGTTCTCTTCCCATCCGTACATCCTCACCACTATCTTCGTCCACCATTGCAGTACTATCGTCAATTCTATTTTCTATCCTGTCTTAACTTCGCGCATTTACACTCTTGTTCAGTGCCGCGTTTAGCACCGAATGCGGCTATCCGATCCCGAGTTTTATTTAAAGATACTGAGATCATGTGGCGTTCGACGTAATCGAAAAACGAAAAGTGAATGGTCACATTTATCGTCGAATGTATGCAAATGCAACTCCTAACCACCTCTCGCTGTTGAATGATACAGTATTGTTGTTGATAAATTTACATACAAGGAAATAGGTCACTTTCAATTAATATAAATAATACAAATTTCATATATTTCATACTTTTGATAACAAAATATTTATGACCTAAA